GTTGGTGAAACACAAAACTTTGCGCAAGTTCGTTAATTTGCTAAAATGCTAATGATAATTGGTTGGTGCAATAGGGCCCAGGTCTATAGCTGGACTGATAAGGCCCAATCAGTTAGTTGACGGTGGCCTTCAGACTTTCACACAATAAACTCTATAAGACCTTGTAACCTATGCTTAGGTGGCTGATACCGCGGTCGTTGGCGCGTATGGCGGTTTCGCCTTTCTTTTGGATTCGGTAGAGCACACTGCATGCACCTCATCAACGCCTCGCCACCGTACTTGAATAGCTCAGCTGGTAGGCCTCCAGCTCCAGCAGCTCTATTGCTTTTCAGCCGCATAATTGCTCACTCAACCGCAATCGTAAATATAGTACATAGGCGCAGCATAGTCACGGGGTCGCCGGGTGAACGCGGACTAGTAGGACGCATTTAATAACAAAGCACTTAGAAATCACTGAAAGCTTACTTTCATGACGATGATCAAATATTTCCAGCACGTCTGAGCAGGCAATTCTACCGCCGATTCCACCACTGCAGGAATGCGCACGAAGCCCAGACTTCTCCCAGGCACGTCAGAAGTCATCCCAACATCAAAGACCGAGTTCAGCCACGCATAAGCTAAACCAGATGTACTATGTACAGAGATGCTTTAAGCGACACTCATTGACATCTTCGTTAACTCTCGCTCACGGAATACCATCATCGGAGACCAGTCAACACATACCTTAGACGAAGTCCTCGAGTTGCCTCCTAAGATCAGCTCGTTACTAATCCCTCTTGCTGATGTACTTAAACGAACTTATCTAACAGCCTTCTATGGGCCAACCCCGTCGAAATCGGCCTTGTATTGGGTCTACTGATAGATGAAGTTGACGAAAACGTTAAGTGCATTCACTTATTTAAATTTATTCAGCGGCCACAACGACAACAAATATCTAATTCTGACCCATTAAATATGTGTATAATGCATACATACGTAGAACAAACGCTAACGGCCGAGAAAATATGATCCTAAAAAGTAACACTTACTACATTAAATTAACCAACAAAAATCTTGACTGATCAAAATAAAAGCGAATAAAAAACTTCTATTTATTAACTTCTTTTCAACCGACTAGAGGAGGAGATTATCAGTTCGTCGGATTTTTTTTTAATTTTTTTATGTATATTACCGCATAACTTTGGACCACGTGAACAGATTCCCATAAATCTTATCGGTGGTATATATCTCAAGGGTAGTCCCATACTAATTTGGTTTAGATCTGATCATTGCATCGTGAAGAAATCAATGGTGCTCCTGAACTTTTATGTGATAATTGAAGTCGGTTGTGTTTTTTGCTTAAGAATTACTTGTTTGCTTAAAACTTGTGGTCTTTTCTTTACTTTTGTCGAATGTGTTATGTATATTAGATAAACATACACACACTCTCGTAATTCTCGCAGTAAAACATTTGCATATTTCTTTCAGTAACTACCCACACACAGCCACTTACCCTTATAAAATCTTTAATGAATTTACCATATACCTGCATATACATACATATTTATATACGTACACTTGAGCCTTAATAAGTCCATGCACGTTTAAATTTTTGGAAACTTATTAATGATTTGCTTTTCTTTATTAATTTATGCCAGCTTTACGCCAGAGTGCGCCTTTTTTTGCCTGACAAGAACGTCGATTGATTTGCTTGAGTTAGCCAATCTACGTGCCTAACATACACGCTTTTTATGCATAATCAAGTATGTATTCATAAATTCTAATGCATAAATTATTTATTAAAAAAAAAAGGTACTGTGCGCTACAGTTATTGTGCTGAATAAGGTGTCTGTATTGCGTGGAGACACTTTTATATGGATATGCGGAAGCTGGCTGAGTGAAATGAGTCGAGTGAGTTGAGATACGCGCGTTGAGTATGGATGATATCGTCACTAGACACGAATAAAGGCGCGAACTCGAAAGTTGACCGCGAAAAAATGCCGCATAAAAAAACTTCGACGGCGAAGAAAGACGCGTAAACTTATTTTCGCAGTCAACTATGTTTGCGAGTGTAATTGTATGTACATTCCCCAAAGAGTTTTGGGAAATAATGCTGAAGTGACAGTCCTTGGCTAGGTATAAATCTATGTTTCTGCGTCTTTATTCGCCGAAATTTTTTTACGCATCTTTTTTCGTCAATGCGCCCTTTTTCGCCGTCAAAACAATGACGCGCCTTTATTCTAATGACGACATGTAACCAGCTAGGAATAAGACTAAGGGCCGGTTACTCAATGTCTGGTTAACACTAATCTCCGGTAAAAACACGTCGATAATGATGTTTTAACGGAGATTAGGGTTAACCAGACATTGAGTAACCGGCCCTAAGCATACAGTTTCCTTAAATTAGTACTTTATTGATATTTATCAGTGAGGCTAACGCTAGTGGCATTAGATGCTGTGTAATATATACGTCAGACTGTCCTGAGAATACATATGTATGTTTATGGAAAAAATTTTGCTTGCAAATTTTGATATGCATATCTTCCGTATTTGTGGTTTTTAGCCTAAAAAACATATATATGAAGTTTTATGGCCATAGGATAACGATAACCCGTGCCGACTTTTAGTTAAAGTTTTAGTTAATAACTTGAATTAATCGTCCATGAAAACTTTGGAAATGCGAAAAACTCGATATGTTTCCCATAATGAACGCATCTGTAGTAAATCGGCATCTTTAAATTTTTAATAGGGCGGCAGGATTATTGCAAAAGAAATAGAAAAAATTAATTAAATGAAAATATCTTTTGCAATTTTTACCCTTCAATATTATTTTATATTGGTTTTTCCTTAAAAACCATCCAAAGAAAATTTTGTGCAATCCGAACCACGGCAGCCCGTGCCAACTTGCAGTCAAAGTTATAGGCCAGTATGCAGCTCTCAAGAAAAGCAAAAACTCCATATAAAATGGCGTACAAGAGATGGCTAAGAAATTTTCTTGAGTAAAATTTCCTTAAGAGCACCGTTTTGCGGAGTGCCTCTTGTTGCGTTTCTGATTGCAGACACTTACGTCATTTCCGTTACGATGGCTAGCGACATGCTTACTGCGAATTCTTTGAGCGTTTTAAGGCTTTTTCACGTTGTAAACGTGTGTCGAAAGACTTTCCAGTTAATGCATATACATTTTCTGTCTATCTAGTACCTTGATGAAGAAAGAAATAAGGATTATTATCTAGTCCAAAGTCGTTTGCTTTAAAAGTGTTGGAATACCTCTTCCTCTATTTGGTATAAACACTACTTTCGCTTTGGTTCCTCCCTTGGATATGAATTTTAGTCTCACGCAAGGCTAATATTGTGTACCGTACATACCTGCATACCTGGAGATGTGTACGGTTGAAAGGACCAGAGGATAGCCATAAGTAATTATAGGGGAACCAGGATTCCCAATGTACCACGGGAAAAGTGCACTCAGTCGAACATTCAGCATTTTCTCTCGATATAGCCTCCACTCGTCATTCAGCTAGCACTGTTCTCAAGCGATTACCCTCCGGCTGCTCCTCTTTGCTTTCACAGAAATTCTTCCAGCAGTAACTCTGGTCTTTTTTGAATACTTACATCATTTTGACTTACTATGTATTTATAATGCAAAATAAATGTTTAACAACGAAACTCTTTGATTTAACTAAAAAAGGAGTTATTTATTTTCAGTATTGTAAGCAATACATACATACATATGACATATGAAGAAATGATCGTTAAATACTTATTTACACAAATATAATCGTATATCCATTCGGTTTTTTTCTATGACTTTCTAAAACATAATCTTTTCTACGCATAGCACATAATTTATCTTTAGTATCGGTGTCTGTGTCTGTAGGCATAGCCGGCCGATTGAGCAGTCGTCGTTGCGGCTTCCGGTTCCGGTGCAGCTGAGGATATAGTTGTTGTCGCAGCTGGAGCAGCGGGTACAGCAACGCCTTTCACCCAAATCGGTATACGAATGGTTTTCGTAATATAAGTCGGCCTCGGAATAGCAGCGCTGACACTATTTACAGTGCTCAGGACATTTTTGAGTAAGCTCTGCTTCAAGTTTACTTTCGCTTGAACCAAACCGCCAACAAGTTGGTTAACTGTTTGAATTTTTGCTGTCACAGCATTCGTTAGTCCTTGAATGAGTGCGTTCGGATCGATAGCGGGTGCAGCGGCAGTGCTTGAAGTGCTGGGAGGAGCGGCACCAATACCTATGTATGTATGTATGTTTGTGTAAAAAAGAAAAAAAATGGAAGGATAATGGTATAAATATGTACAGATATCTAAGTACATACACATACTATATATAAATGCCTAGTATATTTATATGTATGCTTGTAACATCTGTATGTATAGAAGTCGAGAAGTATTACAAGCGTACGCACTTTATATTAGAAAGGGTGAAGGGATGACTTATCGAAACATTGAATATTGAAATGGACGGCTCGTTCAGCAAGCGCACGATTTTATCATACCGCCCCCCTTTGGCCAGAAACATGAATGTGTAAAAATGTTGGGAAATCAAGTTTCAAAGTTTTTTTTATGAGACTTATCTCCACATTCCATGTAACTGACATTGTAAAATTTGTTACTTCCGTGTACATTACCATGAATTGTGGTATAACATAGAACATCCAAAGGTTAATCAAGTCAACCCAATTAGTTATTCATGCTTCTGGCATAGAGGGCACGATAAGCATTAGTATCGTATCTAAAACGATTTTTTTCTAATAAATATGTATATCTCAATTTTGCCAATATTAATTTTCTGTTAAATGTAATTAAATTCAAGCAGTTTCCGCTTCATATCTGAATTTAAAAAATTGAATTTGAGTTTTACAGCAACAACAAAAGTCACTTTATTTAAATTAATTTTTTAGTATTGCACTTATGGTCAAAATAATAAGGTCAAAAACAAAATTATATTGTTGCCACTTTGGTAAATTGTTACCAAAATTGGTAGAAAAAATTTGGTTTGGTAAAAAGGTAAATTTCTTCTCATTTTGGTAGATTTTTGTTGAATTATTTTGTTTGAATTATTTTTATGTTTGAACAAATAAAACTTTTCATTCGCCTTTTATTTTCCGTAGTTATCTTTTTATTACAAACTTCTTTCTAAAAGTGCAGTCTACTTTATTACACACATTTTCGAACGCTTTAATGCACACTTTTTATAAACATACATACGTATAAATGTATATCGGTAAAAGGCGAACATATATGCTCCATTCAAAACTCTTTTACTGGAATTCCGAGAAGCTTTTGATTGCCTAAATATTTTAAATGAATATTTAAATAAAAAGAAAAAATGGACTGGTATGTAAATACGCATTTTGATTGTTCGCAAAAAAAAAAAATTAAATCAACGCCATATTTTATCAATGGTAATTGTTAAATGAAAAAAACACAGAATACTGTCGGCAAGAAAATTAAAAAATACCAACAGGAATTCTTAGCTGCACCTTGTTGGTTATGCTCAAATATTATGGGCTAAAAGATACCTTAAATTATTCAAAAAATTCAGCGTAAAAGGGTCGAAATTTAGGCGAAAATATTTGAATTTTTTCTAAATGTTAGATTTAGCTTGAATCCTTGACAATTTTTTGAATATTTCTAAATGTTGTATTTAGCTTGCATCCTTGATTTTTAAGTGTTTGGTTAAAGCGCAAACAATATTGTTATAAAAAAAATACCAAAAATGTTTGCTTTAAAAAAAAGGTGAATATTAAAAAAAAATCACCAAGCGGTTTTTGAGTCACTGTATTTATCTACATATAATAACTCCAGTTGAAGTTTTTTCAAATGATGAAGTTTCCTTGTTGCCTTTAGGTACATCACTTTCGCTTACAATTAGTTAATTACAATGTACAATTAGTTAAATAAAAAATTCCTTAAACACAATTGGAATTCTTATTGAAATAACGCAAAAAAATAACAACACTATAGTTTTTATTACAATAACTAAAAAAAGTTATTGGTAGATATTTTTTAGATTTGGTAGGTTTTGTTTTTTTTTCAAGTGTATGGTAATTATTTGTTTTCCTCAGTGGCAACCCTGATTGTGGCACTTATGTTTATTTAATTAATTTTAATAATTTTTATCTATAATATAGTTTGATTTATAAAAGAAACCACGAGGAAAAGTTTCGAAGCTTACACAAAGTTCAAAAAAATTAATCAAATTTTAAAAAATGTTCATCAAAATATCAAACTTGTACGAAAATGGAAAAAATACGCAACACAGGCTGCAAAAAAAAAGATTATTCATTAGCGACTTGGAACTTGCACTTTATTATAATAATATAATAATTATACATACTAAATTCGCATAGGCTATAAAACTGCATACTCGAATGAAAAGTTTAAAATATCTATGATTTTTTTTTTTTTTTGATTTATTTTTATGAACTTTGTGTGAGCTTTGAAATTTTTATTCATATTTTAATTGGAAATTATTAAAAATAAATATGTAAATAACCATAAGTAGCAAACAATAACATTTTGAATTACGACCCTGTTGTTTTGACCATAAGTGTATGAATGTAAATTTGTTAGCAAGTTTGCTACAAAAATCAATGCACTTTGCCTTTTATCACTAAACAAAAACAATATTTACGTATATTTATTAATATTTTTTCGTACTTTTGGACACAATTATAAACGCCTCATTCTGCTGAATCTGCAATGCTGCCAACGCCACAATGGCCACGAAAACCAATTTATACATTTTCTATGTTAGTTTAGAATAAACACTTCACTGCTAATTTATTTGAGGCTCAAAGGCTCTTTGGCGCACTGTAACGAACCACACTATTTCTCCCGTCGATTGAAACGAAACTAGTTGTTGACATAAACAGAAGCTTTTATAAGCCCTCGGAGCACGCCCAGAACTTCTACTGCCAACTACATAAGCCGCATCCAAGCCAACGAAACGCACTCGTCTTCTATCGGTACTAGCCACACGCCACTTCGCTAAATTCTAGCCGTTTATACTTACATACATACGAGGGTGGCCACAAAAGTACCGAACCTGGCACAAATTGAAGGCATTCTGCTTTCGCTACACTTAGAAGGGCTTTGGTAGGACGTATTTCAGAAGGCCTTTTGTAAAAGTTCTTCTAAAGCTGATTCTTTAAATTATAAGAATCATACCTCTTTAAGGTGTTTATTAAAGGTTCATATCAAACATGTTTTATTGCAACTGAAGATGCATATTTAAACTCATTTGTAATGAAAAATAAAATAAACCTACATATATGTATATCGATGGTCCTGTGCAATAACCACACAGTTCGAAATTCAAAAAACAAAACAAAAACTGTCACTATTGTTAAGTG